TCGCTAGTGTGATACGGCCATTAGGTGCTTATTAGCATCTTTATTAATAAATTGACAATCACACACAATTTATGATCTTATTTTTAGCTTCAGTTTATTATTACGCTTCTAATCCGATAAACCAAATTGGCGCACAGTTTATAAGATTGAAAACTATATCTGCAAATTTATATATAATCAAGCATCATAATCCGCTGTGACTGAAAATAGAAGTCTTTTTCGCGCGCGCGCGTATTTGATTTATTCTAATCGGAATTTCATTTATTTTCAACTAAATTTTATTTACAAAAATAATTAATAATTATTATTAATTTTATTTTTATAAAATGGCTATCCTTTTTCTCTTATATTTTACTTATTGTATGTATTTTTTACGAATATGTCTTTACATTTTCTACTGTTTTGTTCAGAAAATAATCACATTTATAATTTAATTCTTCATTTTACCATTTAATTAATAAGTATTAATATTTTTGGAGCTCATATCGCATTAGTTTATTTTGTACAATGGAATTTTGTAAGATACTACACGAATCATATATATTTTTTAATATAATATATAGATATTTTTTTATTTCAATAAAATAAGATTCTTTATATTATCAAGAGAGAGAGAGAGAGAGAGAGAGAGAGAGAGAGACACTTTATTATTATTGCGACACTACAATTTTGCAACTTCCATTTTCGAGATTACTTTATTTTCATGACACTATTCTTCTCTTACTTTATGCATATAGGCATTAACTTACTATTTGTCTCTGTGTCTTATAATTATGAAATGCGGTTGTAATATTGCAGCTGTGCAGTGCACGAAATGTTTGTTAATTCTTTTTAAGTATATATGTTTCAAAGAGAAAAGATGTGCAACATATCTTGAAGAATACAAAATATCTTACTATTGCTATATTGTTATAATATGATTTTAATATTCATTGCAGTGCCATATCTAGAATACTATGTATAAAAGAATGTATGATATTAAATGAAATCAGAAAAGAGGTGCTGCTAATTTGATGATATCGACAAGTATCTATGAATGAATGAATAATTTATATATTAATATTATTTGTGAAATAAAATGGACATATTACACAGTATATAATATCGATCGAACTTACATTGTCAATAAATTTCATTATTTTATAATATGACACTTGTTATATTCGTTCGCAAGAAGTCTAATTTCTCCATCTCTATAAAGTTATCGGCAACATATTTAGATGTGAAGAAATTGGCTATGCATAGTAAATATTTATAAAACGACAAAAAGGTTCATGATGTGCTTACGTCCTATATTTACATTATTGTAGTCTAACTATGTAAATAAATGTTTAATTTCAACATATCTACGAGCCTCTTGCAAGAGGAAAAGGAAATTCGCCATTGCTCTACTTAAAACCCGTAATCTTGCGGTGAGTGTAATAGCGGGTTTAATAAGCTGTAACTATTACTTGAGTTAGTACAATTAGATAGATGCAGGTAAAGCGCAGAAAATGAATCGGATAATGCAAAACATCCATATAAAAGCGACTGTCATGTTGCACTGCTAGCATACGCGAAATGCTTATGCTACCATTAAAATGGGTAAGCTATTTTAACAGTATGTCCATTTTTTTGTTTTTATTTCGGCAATACTACAATTAAATTACTTTTATAATTTTTAGGTAATATATATCTTATTGGTGATCAATTGCGCTGGCGCACGCTGGTCGCGCGTCAGCCGTCAAGCAGGATATTCTTATCAGCGACCCAACGTACCATTCTCGTTACCTACGGAAAGAGGTAGTCAACAAAGATATCCAAGCTCCCAACCTAGTTATTCATACCCTGCACCACCTCCCCCTCCACCTCCACCGCCTCCTCCTCCTCCTCCTCCACC